CTTGTACCCATGGATTTGATAATGAATTGGTGTTGTCATTCAAAGTTAGCTCTTCTATTCTGTGTTTTAGTTGTCTTTGGAACTCTGTACAGTGGAGGGGTTCTCTAATTGATTTGACACTAAATGTGGTATTTATATATAATATTCTTTCATAAAGAGAAGGCAAACTAAGTTCTGTTCTCATATTCACAATCCTTGTTGTTCTAGGGGCACCAAGAATGATCCTCATGGCTTCATTTTGTACACTTTCTAAACTAGTCAATTCTGATTCCTTGAACAATACTAGATGCAATGCATGGTAATCTATGACCGACCTTATGTATGACAAGTAAAAGAGTCTCGCAATATTGACATTAACACCATAGTCTTTGCCGACAAGCGTCCTAAGTGGCTTCAGCCGCTCCCATAACCTTTTCTTCAGGTTTCTGATGAGTTCTGAATCATTAACAATCACCCCGAGGTATCTGTATTGATGGCAGAGATCTAGCTCAACGCCACCAATATGAAACCTTGGCAGAGGGATTGTCTTTGGGTTAAGTGCCTTGGTTTTTTCAGTTGAGATTATTAAGCCACACTCAGTAGCCCTTGCAGAAAGTATATCAAGAATCTCTTGCATTCTCTCCTCAGATGAGGATTTAATGCAGATATCATCGGCATAGCAAATAATGGAGTCATTGCCTGCAAGTGGTATATCGCCCAGTAATCTATGCATTAGGATATTAAATAGCATGGGGCTAAGTACGCCTCCCTGAGGTGTGCCGAGTTCAAATACTTTTGCATGAGTGCTCTTAATGCCCCTGAAGAGAACCTGAGCCGATCGATTTGACAGATACATTTGAATCCATGTTAACAGTTTTCCCTGAATACCAAAGCTAGCTAGTTGCTCAAGGATAATTTCCTTATTTGCAATATCAAAGGCAGATTTGAGATCAAGGAATACGGTTTGCATGCCTGGGTTTGAGTTTGTTAAGTACTCTGCAAAGCAGTGCTGACTACTACGCCCTGGGAGAAATCCAAACAGTCTGGGGGATAACTTAGCATTTATGCGATACATGAGCCTGTTCAGAATTATTCTCTCAAGTACTTTGCACAGACAGGAGGTCAGGGAAATGGGTCTGTATTTGTCTGTATTGGGTTTGGGTATAGGAATGATTAAGCTTTCAGTCCAGGAGCTTGGGAGGATTCCTTGTGATAGGCTGAGTCTATACAGGTGTAAAAGTGGGTTGCCTGGCACCTGAGCAATGTGGCGAAGGACGCTGTAAGTAATGCCGTCCTCGCCTGGGGCGGTTGCCTTACCTTTCAGAAGGGCATTGCTCAGTTCCCACTCGGTTATTTCGACAAAGTCGGAGGGGTCAATGGCAGCACAGGCTATTGCTATATTAAAATTTCTATCTATTTTCGACTTGTTGAGCTGATTTTTTATCCCTTGTGGAAGTGAGTGTAACTGAGAATTTCCAGCCCACTGCTCTAACAGCATGTTAGCCTGTTCTTGTGGACTGTGGAATTGCGGTGTTGTGGGAGCTCTACCTGTTAGCCTATTAATTTTCCTCCATACGTCAGCTACAGAAGTTTGACTATTGATACTTTGCAAGAATTTTTCCCAGTGTTTACTACGAATCTGAATTTTTAATTCTCTGAATTCCTTGTTGGCTTTCAGAAACTGCAGAAGATTGTCTGTCGTCTTATCATCTTTATAACAATTAGCAAGCTCCTGAACCCGTTGATGTTCCTTGGCTAGAATTGGGTCATTGATCCACCTCGGTACCTGGGAGGCCTGGGGCCTTTTTTTCTTTGAGAGTTTTCGTGAACAGACCCATGTGTTATAGTAGTCAGTGACCACTTTGATTAGATCCTGAGAAAAATTTTCAACTGTTGTTACTTCATAGGTGTTATACCAGTCATAGATCCGTGCCTTGAAGTGATGCTCCAGGCCCGGTGGGATGATTATTCTGAGCCTGGGTGATTTAGGGGCTGAGTCGCTGTCTACAGTATATTCTGTTCGGATTGCAAAGTGGTCACTAACTAACTCTCGCACCAGTGAAGTACAGATATTACCATGAACTAAATTCCTGCCAAATACATAGTCTAACCTGCCACCTCCCAAATGAGTCTCTGTTTCTGTATCATATACTGTTAGTGATCTACTACTGATAAAATGTTTGAATTCTTCCCCATTACTGTTACGTTGTTTGTCTCCAAAGTGCGGATGCCTTGCATTGAGGTCGCCCATACACAACGTGCTTTGGTTGCGAAAATTGGGGAGAGAGCTAGCCAGAAATTTGGAGTATCTGGCATATACATTATACAGTGAAAAATACCCACTGGCAGTCTGAATTTTTAAGTGATGAAATTGAACATCAGTGTTCTCGGATTTTTTAACTAATTTATGTGGCAGTGTTACCTTTACATATGTCAACAATCCAGTCATGGCTGTATTCACATATGAATAATATCCCTGAATTGCAGGTGCTATCTTCATCTTAGCAGCAGCAGCAAAAGG